GGGGGGCCAGTGGTGCAGGCAGATGCCAGATGGGAAGGGCCTGGAAGAATACACAATTCTCAACCAACAGCAACTAGGGATGGAGCACTTACTGAATGCTGGGATTGCCCAACTGGAGAGCGGGCCCAGTGCTATCTGCCCCATGGGTGAGTGTGCAATAGCCACTGTCAAACATTCCTTTGCTCCAATGCCACAACCAGTGTTTACTGAGCACGTACTCACTGCAGGCGCTGAGCTGCCTGCGTAACGTGGATTCTCATGTAATCCCCGGGACAGAGCTCACCCCCAACTTACACAACAGGAAGTGGAGGCTTACAGAAGTGAAGTAACTTGGCTCAAAGCAGTTGCTAATACATCTGAGCTGCTTCAGGCCTGTTCTGAGGGCCCAAGCTCAAGGGTTTAGGCCTCATCCAGTGACAGGGTGAATGGAGGGAGGGGGCTTAAGGCAGTGGAGCACCAGGTTGGGTGTTGCTGCCCCTCTCCTCATGGGTAAGGGTGGGGAAAACTATCAACAGAGCAGGTGGGCAGAGCTAGAAGTGCACTTCCAGGCACCCTCGGGCCTCTGCCTGGTACCATCCTGCACTGGGTTGCCAGATGGCTGACCCCCTTCTGCATGGCACTTTTCCACATGAATCTTCTTCACACATGATAACTAATGAAGACAGGGGAACAGCCCCACTTTGCACACAAATTCAGGCTAACATGAAATAGCAAATCTCAATCAGATACTGTAAACAGGAAAAAGTCCGAACCATACCGTGTTTATCAACATTTTTTGCAATAACAGGAGGTTAACTGCATGTTCACCAAATCAGATTATGGAATTCTTCTACCAGACGGACTTCACAGTCCTGAAGCTATGGCTGAGGTTGGTGATAGGTGGAATTGGTTGCGCAGATCTGAGATTTGAACAGCTGGGCATGAGGGAGTGAAATGAGGGAGTACCCAGCAGGGGCTCAAGTACTTGCCGTTATTTCTCAAATTCTAGAGAAGCCCCTTTATAGGTGGGAGAATTAAAGGTCAGTGAAATACTATGACTTGTCTGGTGATAGTGTTCTCAGGATTTGCTGGAGGTGGTTCTATGACTTACTGTCCCCTGGCCTGATGAAGTACATACAAATGCAGGTGTCACACAACCACCTGGGAGAATCTGATTCTGTGCTCACCCAGGAAGACCAAACATGCTGTCTTTGAGCTAAGTCAAGCCTTCTTGGTAGTTGGTAGCCTCCTGCCAGGACCTCTGGCAACCAGCAGCATAACCAAAAGGACAAAGGGAGGAGCTGAACATGACTGCAGCTTGGGAGGGGGGAGATGGGTTATTTGTGTGGGTGCTAAAGTCCAAAAAAAAAAAAA